TCTGACGAGCACGCTGATCTACGTACTTGTGACTCCGCGCAAAATCCGTCGTGCTCGCAGCCGAGAAGGTACTAAGCATGATACAGTATAGCAAATAGTTGCTGATGTGGATGAAATTCCGTGTGAGGATATCAGTTTCTCATACCCAGGCTCCATCCCAATCGTAGGATGCACCAGAAATAGTAGTTTACAGATATCATTCACCGCATCCGGAGGTCATGACCCCGGTCATGTTGGTCTTTGTATGGGTAGTTTAAAATTGATGACTACGGCAAATTATTCGGGAAAATGATGTCGAGCCAATCAACGCAGAGAATTTGGGAAGAACTGCTTACCATTTCAGCCAGTTAAACGACGGGCCATTGCTTGCTTTTCAGCAGCCGATCGTGTTGCCTTGAAGACGACAGACTCGCCGGGGTGATGCCGGGTGCAGTGCATGCGCAAAGCGTCTTTTTGGTTTTCGTTGTACTTGGCTTCACATTTTGGGCAATGGTAGTCCCCATTGTCGTCCTTTGTGATCCCAACTTGTGCCGTCCCCGAGTCAAATTTGAAGATGCAATTTTTGGTGGAACGCAAATACGAACAGACTCTGATAGGCTGAAATCATACTTTCGTGATTGGTTGAAAGCCGTATATTTTAATCTTCTTGATTAGCTATGACCAAAAACAATGAAATCTTGAATATCAAGTGAAAACCTCTCACATTCCATTGTTATCCAGGATATCAATATTTTTGGTTATGACCGCAGTCATAAACCTTTGATAATTTTATGACCAGTCGGTTGATATTTAGTTGTGAATGCACTAAAAAGTTCAAGTTGGCTATTTGACCGTGGGCATTCATCGCTAACCTAAAAATTCTAAAACATTGACCAATGACAGCGCAGTCCTCACCACTTCAGAAAGGTCAACGGAATATATGGTTTGCCGCAAAAACCAACGTCAAAATATTATTGCCTTATACAAAAATCAAGATATTCCTTTAGTACCACGGCGAAGGATTTTCGTCGTTCCCTGTACCTCCCTAAAGAATGATGAAGATGAGACAGCCTTAACAGGATTAGTATTACAAAGGACATCTTCTTTTTCACTGAGGGATCCCGAAACCCTCGCAAACACCCATCACATCGCATATTGCATCCGGATAGTGCCCGTGTATTTATTGTATATCCAGGGAAATATCACAATTTGTAAGACGCGAGGGTACCAAAACCACAGCAAAATCGCAAACTCTTGCATTCTTATTGGGCGATGATGAATCAAAAACTTCTTTTCATTGGGTAAAAAATTACTGGTGCCTAGGTCAATGAGAAATACATCACAATTTTGGGTTCCGAACTCATCGGCGTCATGATGGCACGACTGTCAAGTCGTCGCTCCTTGCTTAGAAGACTGCGTGCGTTAAAGCTCCGCACAGCTCTAAAGGAGCGCAACAGAGTTCAAACAGTCTCGTTACCCGCAAACCAGACGGACACTGCATGGTACTACATATATGCCTCGCGTGATACAGCATCGTTTATAGCAACAGTCTCGCTCACTCCCGAAGCTTTTGATGAGCTCCTTGTATACTTCAATCGCGAATACGTTGTACTATCTCGGCCAGGCCAGTGTGGACGTCCACCTCGCGTCCCAACACACGCACGCTGTTTTAGCCATTGTGCTCCACTTCTACACTGCGGCTGTTGAGCTCAAGACGCTGCAGGAACTCTTTGGCGTTGCATCCACAACATTGTCACGACTACTGCGAAAGGGCGAAGACGCCCTATCAAGGGCGCTCAAGTGCTTACCAGCTGCGAGGATTTTGTGGCCGTCCAAGACCAAGCAGCAGTATTGGGCGTTGAAGTCACAAGAGTGTGAGCCCCTCGCTTCGTGTGTTTGGATTTGTCGACGGCGAAAACCTTCGTGTATAAGAGTCGTCTTGTGCGGATTTGCAGAATGCCCACTACAATGGTATGTCATGTGAGAGTATCGGGTCACTGATCTGTCTTTAGGGTGGTTACACTCGGTGTTTGTCACTGGTGTTCTATGCTTTGGACTCGATGGCACGATCCTCTGTGGTCGCCACAACTGCCCGGGCTCTTGGAATGATGGCGAAATGAGCCGAAGGCTGCAGGAGATGCTAGCCGACGACATCCGTGTTGCACATGGCATGAAGTTGGCGTCTGACTCTGCTTTTCCTGTCGGAGGGCTTGCGTTGGGCAGAATTGTCACGCCGTTGAAGCAAGGGGACTTGGATCGATACCCAACAGGGTGTCGACTCGGACTGCAGACCATGAGCCATTGTATCACGTCACTTCGCCTGGCTGCAGAGTGGGGTATGGTGGCAGTCCCAAAGGTCTAGCGGCAGCTAATGCTACCACTACCATTTGATCCAGTGTTGCGCAAAACAAGACTTGGCAACATGTTTCGACTTTACAACTTCCGCGTTCGGCGTACAGGCATAAGTCAAATAAAGATATGTGTTTGGTGTTTAACAATTTCGATTTATGCATTTATGCACCTCGAAAATGTCCTTATTTGTCCTGAAATAAGCTTGGACAAGCATACTATCAAGGTGATTTTTGGCTCTTTTATGGGTTTAAGTTACATTTAATCGATATTTTTTACAATTTTACTCAAGTGTTGAAATTCCAACGAAATGCGT